TATAAATATATATATATATATATATATATATATATATATATATATATATATATATATATATATATATATATTAAAAATTTTAAAAAATAAATTTTAAAAAATAAAAATAAATAAAATTAAAAAATTTAAATTAAAAAAATATATTTTTTCCATCTTAACTAAAGGTACAAATTTTTGACTCATACGATGACACAACTCAAACTCGATACAAAAATAAACAGGTCAACTTGTAACTCGATACGACACAATTAGTTCAATAAGTTAAGTTAGGTTTAACTAACATTCGACACAAACCCGTAATGACTCAACACGATTCTGACATGGCACGACTCGATTGTCACCCCTAATCTTAATCAGCACAAAAAAAAAATTATTTTTATTTTCTATCCATACAATCAAATACAAATAAAGGAAAGTGTATTCTTTCTACTTTTCATTCTTAAAAGATAGAAAAATGTATCTCTCTTACTTTTCATCCTCCCTACCAAACGAAGCATTAAGCAAAATGAGGGCCGGCCATTTTTAGTAGGAAATTACTTTGTAAAATAAGGTTAACCACAACATCATGTGAACCTGGTACACCACATCGGTAGTAAAAAATATATAGATAAAGTGAGACCTAATCTCTTCTTCTTCGAGAAAGATGTGTCAACCTCTTGGCCTCAAGAAGGTACGTCCCGATCAAACTCCCTCTATTTGAAAAGGTGAGACTTAGGATATCTCAGGTCTCACTACATCTTATCTAGTTCTCTATTCATTATATTTCACCATATTATGCATGATGGTGTAATGAACACAATCCCATAAATAAATGTTATGTGGTATACGTCAANCTTCTCCGATGACCAGCTGAAGGGTCTTCTTAAGAGATGTGACACGAACAATGATGGCAAGCTGAGTAGGCAAGAGCTGAAGGGAGCTTTCCGTGGTCTCGGCTTGAAATTCAGTGGCTGGAGAGCTCGATGTGCCCTTCGCCACGCAGATGCCAATGGTGATGGAGTCATTAGCGAAGACGAGATGAACGAGCTTGTCAAATATGCTTCAAGGTGGGGGTTTAGAGTTAGTTAAACCTTACCAGCTATGAAGAAGAATATCATCTGTGTAATATGAACTGCAGCCAGTTGTAACTTGTAAGGTTGCAAATTTACCGTTTGATGAACATATGTGATTAACTTTAGAGCAATGCTACAAAATTCAAGTAAAATCCAAAAAATTATAATTTAAATGCATATCATATCTTAGATGAGTGCGTCTCATCAATTTTTTCAGTGGAACCCACTCATCCCACACTCATATAAGAAATGATATGTATTTGAGTTTTAATTTTTAACTTTCATTCGGGTTATCTAGCATTTTTCTTAACTTTAAAGGTAGTTCAAGTGATACTNTTTCAAGGTATTTTAATATTTTTGGTATAGTTCAATCAATATTTTGAAAAAATAAATCTTAATTTTTTTATTTTGCTCATTCTATTTTCAAAAAAATGTCAAAATATTTCTGAAATATGTAAAAACTTTTCCGTTTCCTAAGTAACGAAAACAATATAGTGAAATAAAATTTTGATCCTTATCCCCATTTCAATGATTATCAACCATGGAAGAATCTCCNTGAAAAACAAAAAAGACATTCTACAACGAGATCAAGAATACTGGCACAGTAATTGAATTAACATGATTGATTTCTCTAAGACTCTTGAGTTGGACATGTTTTTGACTTTTATTAGTTTTATAGACTCACCTCCTTTGTATGCCCTACAACCTAAAAGACGGAATAAGGAATTCTTTTTGCGGNTAATAAAGTAACTTACAATTTAAATCTCAAAAAATAAACAAAATGACTTTTATTATTCGCAATTGAGATCGCTTTAAATTTTACTTTAAAGTTAATTTAACGGCTAATATTAACACCCTAAATTTAATAAGAAAAATAAAATACTAAGAGTGTGTTTGGAGTGACTTTTTAAAAGTACTTTTAGGAATTATTTTTCCTAAGTACTTTAAAAAAAATAGTGTTTGAAACCGTCCCAGCACTACCTCTACTACCACTACCACCACTATCTCTACTACCACTACCACCACTATCTCTACCACTGTCGCCGCCGCCGCAGCTACCCCACCACCACCACCACCACTGCCACGGCCGCCACCGCAACCATCATCGTTGTCGTTGCCACTGCCACCACCACTGCCACCTCCGTCGTCGCCACCATCGCCATCGTCGTCGCCACCACCACCACCGTCGTCTTCGCCGTCGCCGCCACCAATGCCACCACAGTTATTGCCACTCCCCACAACTATCACCCATCTCCTACTACCACCACTGTCGCCCACCACCTCTCACCTCCACTACAACNTTTTGGTTGCTTGTAAGAAGTAGTGGCCCCACTCAAGAATTAAAATTTTGGTTGTGAAATGGTCGAAACATTCACAACGTTTCATTTTTAAGAAAATCGAAATAAATTAGTGATAAAATCGAAATTCTAATACTTTGAAACTTGGCTCTAGCCGATAGGCTAGCAATAAGCTTGGTCCTTGTCCTCTTTTTAATTATTGATCATGGAAGTGCTTACCAAGCGTGAAGGAAAGGGTCTTCGCCACTTGAGCCGTATGCGGGGAAACTCGCACGTGCGGTTCTTAGGGGGGGAGAGCTAGTAGGAACCATCCCATCCAAATATAAGCTATTGGGATGGGATGGCCGAGGTGGTTTGAAATGTTTCAATGTATTTACACAATTGTTTCAAAAATTTTCAAGGTATTTTAATATTTTTGGTATAGTTCAATCAATATTTTGAAAAAATAAATCTTAATTTTTTTATTTTGCTCATTCTATTTTCAAAAAAATGTCAAAATATTTCTGAAATATGTAAAAACTTTTCCGTTTCCTAAGTAACGAAAACAATATAGCGAAATAAAATTTTGATCCTTATCCCCATTTCAATGATTATCAACCATGGAAGAATCTCCAAAAAGATAAGTGATAAGTTCAATTGCCTCAATGCAAAAAATATTAAAAGTTTCGTTAGTAGTTTGGTATAAATTTAACATTTGACATCTATATAATAAAGTAGCTTACAATTCAAATCTCAAAAAATAAACAAAATGACTTTTATTATTCGCAATTGAGATCGCTTTAAATTTTACTTTAAAGTTAATTTAACGGCTAATATTAACACCCTAAATTTAATAAGAAAAATAAAATACTAAGAGTGTGTTTGGAGTAACTTTTTAAAATTACTTTTAAGAAATTATTTTTCATAAGTACTTTAAAAAAAATAGTGTTTGAAACCGTCCCAGCACTACCTCTACCACCACTACCACCACTATCTCTACTACCACTACCACCACTATCTCTACCACTGCCGCCGCCGCAGCTACCCCACCACCACCACTGCCACGGCCGTCGTCGCCACCACCACTGCCACTTTCGTCATCGCCACCATCGCCATCGTCGCCGCCGCCACCAGCACCGTCGTCTTCGCCGTCGTCGCCACCAATGCCACCACAGTCATTGCCACTCCCCACAACTATCACCCGTCTCCTACCACCACCACTGTCGCCCATCACCTCTCACCTCCACTACAACCAATGTTTAAATTTATTTATCTCTTGTCTATGTTTGTGACTTGAATTTAGATATGAATACAAATATGTTTATTTTTTATTACTCTGTGCCTTCAAACACAGACAATAACTAGTTATCATACAAAGTAACAAATNATTGCTTTATATTCTTGATTTGTTCTTCGATTGTGTGTGTTTGTTAGTGGATTTAAATCGTGAGAAATCCCAACACTTAATACCTAATTGTCACACAATTTTACCAACCTAATGGGAGTTGTATACTAAGTAACCCTAGCTAGTTTGAATAGTTGTTGAAGGGTTCACAGTTCATAGATATGACTCTTAACAAGGATTGTTTGCAAAGTAGAAAAACATTGAATGGAACTCTGACTGACATACTCATCATACCCCAAGCTATTACGCAAGAAAACTTGTTTTTGCACCTGCTTGCTACTGAACACAATCTTTTTCAAGCATTCCAAGATGGAATTGCATCAAGAAATTTTATAGGGGTCACCGTGGTATTTTAACAAATTTCAAGGGATGTGTTGGTACAAATTCTTGCACAACTCAAGGATTTCGGCTGACCTGGGTTAACTCCTTGGGCGACCCCCCAGTAGCCTTTTACCATTCCCCATAGGAAGTGTTCACTTATATGGCAGGGGGGAGACGACTCCTACCCGATGTGGGATGGAGGTAAAAGGCTATTGTATTGCCTTAGGAAAGGGTGCAGCCCAGCCGAAATCCTTGAGTTGCGCAAAAATTTGTACCAACAAAAGGCACAAATTTTTGCGCAACTCAAGGATTTCGGCTGACCTGGGTTAACCCCTTGGGCGACCCTCCAATAGTCTTTTACCTCTATCCCACATCGGGTAGGAGTCGTCACCCTCCTGCCATATAAGTGAACATTTCCTATGGAAGAGGTACCCACTAACCACTTGATCAAGTGCTAGTGGATACCTCCTCCATAGGAAATGTTCACTTATATGGCAGGGGGGACGACCACTTCTATCCGATGTGGGATGGAGGTAAAAGGCTGACAGGTTACTGGGGGATCGCCCAAGGGGTTAACCCAGGTTAGCCGAAATCCTTGAGTTGTGCAAGAATTTGTACCAACAGGATGTCATCCAAACTTCTCCTTATTTTAGAAGTAAAATTTATCAATCAACTGTATCTAATCTTTTTTTATTTTAACCAAGGTGAGATATGATCCATTCAATGCTACAGTAGGATGCTTTTTCCCTACTTGTTTGGTGTAAGTGACCAGGTGGAAGTAATCAGCACTTATCCACCTAAAGGATAGGGGAATCCAGAAAGAACATTAAAGTCCCACTCACACCTTTTTCGTAGTATAAGAAACTGTGTTCTCCTGGCTACAAAACCAACCTCCTCACTACAGTCACTAAGTGATTGACAAAATGCCCATGTGGAGTCCTAGACCTAGAAATTTAGATTTACCCTTCTCCGATGATCAGCTGAAGGGTCTTCTTAAGAGATGTGACACGAACAATGATGGCAAGCTGAGTAGGCAAGAGCTGAAGGGAGCTTTCCGTGGTCTCGGCTTGAAATTCAGTGGCTGGAGAGCTCGATGTGCCCTTCGCCACGCAGATGCCAATGGTGATGGAGTCATTAGCGAAGACGAGATGAACGAGCTTGTCAAATATGCTTCAAGGTGGGGGTTTAGAGTTAGTTAAACCTTATCAGCTATGAAGAAGAATATCATCTGTGTAATATGAACTGCAGCCAGTTGTAACTTGTAAGGTTGCAAATTTACCGTTTGACGAACATATGTGATTAACTTTAGAGCAATGCTACAAAATTCAAGTAAAACCTAAAAAGTTGTAATTTAAATGCATATCATCCCTTAGATGAGTGTGTCTCATCAATTTTTTCAGTGGAACTCACTCATCCCACACTCATATAAAAAATGATATGCATTTGAGTTTTAATTTTTAACTTTCATTCGGGTTATCTAACATTTTCNGTCTCATCAATTTTTTCAGTGGAACCCACTCATCCCACACTCATATAAGAAATGATATGTATTTGAGTTTTAATTTTTAACTTTCATTCGGGTTATCTAGCATTTTTCTTAACTTTAAAGGTAGTTCAAGTGATACTCTTTACAACCTTCCGTTCACTCCACTTTCAAATATTTCTTTTTTCTGGTAAACTAAATGACTGTCTACTACATTAAAGAAATTAAAAACATCTTGATTCACAATTCCTGAAAAACAAAAAAGACATTCTACAACGAGATCAAGAATACTGGCACAGTAATTGAATTAACATGATTGATTTCTCTAAGACTCTTGAGTTGGACATGTTTTTGACTTTTATTAGTTTTATAGACTCACCTCCTTTGTATGCCCTACAACCTAAAAGACGGAATAAGGAATTCTTTTTGCGGTTAAGGCTTTGATTATTATAGGTAAGTTCCAAAGCCAAAGTGAAAAGAAAGAGATATTTATTCAAAGCATGCCACTAAGTACGGCATCCGAACTATTTTTCCTATATGAGGTGAATTGAGTTCGACTTAAATGAAGGAAAAGACCCAGCTGGAACTCTTTTGCTGTTACTCTTGACATAGTGAACAAAGTAGACTAAGGGCCAAGTAAAGGGCAGGAGGCCAATTAACCAAGAGTATCCCTACAAAAAACATACAGTAAAATCTTCAAAGCAGCTTGATCAGGTGTTAAGTGGGGTGGGTGCGAGCTGTCGTTATTGTAGAGTAAGGAATTTTAAATCTACGTAGTTTTTCATAACCCTTACTCTCAGATCATCATGAAAACTGCTTCTAATTGATGCTGGCTGCAGGAATACAGCATAGGATAGAACAGAACATGGTGAATATGCCATGAACAGTTCTGTGGTTGATCAGTAAGATTCTCAAAGGGTTTGGATAACTATTTATATATGGTCGGCCAAAGTGAAGCTACTTCCATGGCTTCTTTTTGACCATGCTTTTGGAAAGTTATATATTTTTTTGATGAGTAATGTTAGATGACTTAAAATTAAATTTAAAAATTAGATTTAATAATTTAAACTATTGAATAGATAGTAGGTCCCAATAAATGTTAGAACCCACAGTGAAATCAATAGTTTTAATTATTAAATTTAGTTTTTAACTCCACGTAACATTGCTCTTNCTAACATTTTCCTTAACTTTAAAGGTAGTTCAAGTGATACTCTTTACAACCTTCCGTTCACTCCACTTTCAAATATTTCTTTTTTCTGGTAAACTAAATGACTGTCTACTACATTAAAGAAATTAAAAACATCTTGATTCACAATTCCTGAAAAACAAAAAAGACATTCTACAACGAGATCAAGAATACTGGCACAGTAATTGAACTAATGACATGATTGATTTCTCTAAGACACTTTGACTTTAATTAGTTTTATAGACTCACCTCCTTTGTATGCCCTACAACCTAAAAGACGGAATAAGGAATTCTTTTTGCGGCTTAAGGCTTTGATTATTATAGGTAAGTTCCAAAGCCAAAGTGAAAAGAAAGAGATATTTATTCAAAGCATGCCACTAAGTACGGCATCCGAACTATTTTTCCTATATGAGGTGAATTGAGTTCGACTTAAATGAAGGAAAAGACCCAGCTGGAACTCTTTTGCTGTTACTCTTGACATAGTGAACAAAGTAGACTAAGGGCCAAGTAAAGGGCAGGAGGCCAATTAACCAAGAGTATCACTACAAAAAACATACAGTAAAATCTTCAAAGCAGCTTGATCAGGTGTTAAGTGGGGTGGGTGCGAGCTCTCGTTATTGTAGAGTAAGGAATTTTAAATCTACGTAGCTTTACATAACCCTTACTCTCAGATCATCATGAAAACTGCTTCTAATTGATGCTGAGCACAGGATAGAACAGAACATGGTGAATATGCCATGAACATTTCTGTGGTTGATCAGTAAGATTCTCAAAGGGTTTCGATAACTATTTATATATGGTCGGCCAAAGTGAAGCTACTTCCATGGGTTCTTTTTGACCGTGCTTTTGGAAAGTTATATATTTTTTTGATGAGTAATGTTAGATAGATTTAAAATTAAATTTAAAAATTAGATTTAATAATCTTAACCATTGAATAGATAGTATATCCCAATAAATGTTAGAACCCACAGTGAAATCAATAGTTTTAATTATTAAATTTAGTTTTTAACTCCACGTAGCATTGCTCTTTCTTGATTAGCTCCTCTTGATTAGCTCCTCGCAAACTTGCAAGTCCTTGTTTTGTCGTGTTGGACCGCCCAAGATGTAAAGGTGGGTTACACACTTACACTGGGGTGGTGACCTGACCAGGGTTGTTACTTGTTTGATGAATTGATGTAAATGTTTTTTTATGGTGAAATGATCATTATTTTGCAATGTCAACCAAATACACACTAGCGATTGTGAGTTTGAATTTCATTGACTATGAATTAGTTGGATTTAATTGAACATGAACTCGTACAATAAAAAATATGCCCACTCAAACTAAACTGATCTTGAGAAAATCAAATGCATTGATTTAGAATCCGAACTCTCCAACTGAGAGTAAAATCTAAACATACTAACATTAAACAATGTTATGTTGACTAAAATTAAGTTTCATTAATATTCAATGATGAAAATTATATTACATCACTCTAAATGAAAAACTTGATAAATATAATATTACTCAAAATTAAAACAACAAAGACGAGGCTCAATTGACATAGTTTGGAATAATAACCCCATATTTTTACCTAGAAAAATGACCGAACTTTGCTCCTATCACATCAAAATGAAGAAACCTTGATGATAACACCAGATATATCTTCAGTTCGGAATCATGACCCAACTTTGTTCCTATCCGTTCAAAAATGAAGAGACCTTTAGGATAACACCTGGGAGGAATCTCTCTCTCTCTCTCTCTCTCTCTATAGTGTCTACATATAGCCATAGCATGCATGGCCTCCACTAAGGCACTAACCCAACACACCTCCCTTCCAGTCTTCCACTGTCCTGCATAAAAAAAAAAAAATAGTGGCAAAATGCCTATGTGGACCTCTAGGCATGCAAGTTACCCACTGTCTCAGGAGCAGCTTAAGGGTATTCTCAAGAAACATGACACCAACGGAGACGGAAAGCTCAGCAGGGAAGAACTGAAGGCAGCCTTTCGCAGCCTAGGTTTGCAGTTCAGTGGCTGGAAAGCTTGGAGAGCCGTCCACCATGTCGACGCCAATAGAGATGGGTATGTTAGTGAAGAGGAGATGAATGAGCTTGTTAAGTATGCTATGCAATGGGGGTTTACTATTAATTAAAGTAGCTAGCCCGTTCAACTGTTTCAAAGAATGGGTCCAACTATTATCTGAACTAGCTACTTAGTTTACAACTTAAGTGTGTGAGGTTGTAAACCTGCAACTTTTAATTTTAATGAAAAAAATTAAGGTGTAACAATCTCTCTTCAGTTTTCTTTTCCTCGTTTGGTAAAAAGAAAATAACTAGTATTAAGGTAAACTATCTACATAAGGTCTCGTCGCATACTTTGACGTTGAAGAATAAGTTTAATTTCACCGAACTATCACATCTATGAAAATTCGAAACTTAAACATTAAGTAAATAAATTTGTATTCTTACCCACCGAACTAACCGCGCTGGTATATATCCATAATATCAGATAGGTGAGAACAGATTTTGGTGGAATAAATTGAACCGTCAAATAGTCTAAAAAAGTACACAAATTCACTGTCTGATTCTGAACGTGGAGTCCAAGTAGTTCTTTAGTTTAGGCCATCAATCAAAACCCACAATTTAGCTACTTTTGGAAGGCTCAGTTTTTTAGCAATAACTTTAGTTTAGCAAAGCAGTGGCGAGTTTGTTTATTCAAGGGCAAAACACGAAATCAGACTTATTCGGGCGTAAATAAAAGTCAAAAGACGGTAGTTTGTTTGTTTGTTTGTTTTTTATTTTTTGGAATGTCCATTTTAACTCACATGCACCTCAATTAATTCTTTTTTTGATTCAATCAAAGTAAACTATCTACAAAACAGGACTAAAGTATTCAATAGGAATAATTCTCTTATGATCTAGTCGTAAAGAATTGTCAAGACATAAATTCAAAACGTTTAGATTTATATGTCGTCTTTATTACTCATTGAGGTTCAAGAGAGTAGTTAACTTTTGTTTAAAAGTTCTTATTTGGTTNCACCTGGGAGGAATCTCTCTCTCTCTCTCTCTCTCTCTATAGTGTCTACATATAGCCATAGCATGCATGGCCTCCACTAAGGCACTAACCCAACACACCTCCCTTCCAGTCTTCCACTGTCCTGCATAAAAAAAAAAAATAGTGGCAAAATGCCTATGTGGACCTCTAGGCATGCAAGTTACCCACTANGAGGAATCTCTCTCTCTCTCTCTCTCTCTCTATAGTGTCTACATATAGCCATAGCATGCATGGCCTCCACTAAGGCACTAACCCAACACACCTCCCTTCCAGTCTTCCACTGTCCTGCATAAAAAAAAAAAAATAGTGGCAAAATGCCTATGTGGACCTCTAGGCATGCAAGTTACCCACTGTCTCAGGAGCAGCTTAAGGGTATTCTCAAGAAACATGACACCAACGGAGACGGAAAGCTCAGCAGGGAAGAACTGAAGGCAGCCTTTCGCAGCCTAGGTTTGCAGTTCAGTGGCTGGAAAGCTTGGAGAGCCGTCCACCATGTCGACGCCAATAGAGATGGGTATGTTAGTGAAGAGGAGATGAATGAGCTTGTTAAGTATGCTATGCAATGGGGGTTTACTATTAATTAAAGTAGCTAGCCCGTTCAACTGTTTCAAAGAATGGGTCCAACTATTATCTGAACTAGCTACTTAGTTTACAACTTAAGTGTGTGAGGTTGTAAACCTGCAACTTTTAATTTTAATGAAAAAAATTAAGGTGTAACAATCTCTCTTCAGTTTTCTTTTCCTCGTTTGGTAAAAAGAAAATAACTAGTATTAAGGTAAACTATCTACATAAGGTCTCGTCGCATACTTTGACGTTGAAGAATAAGTTTAATTTCACCGAACTATCACATCTATGAAAATTCGAAACTTAAACATTAAGTAAATAAATTTGTATTCTTACCCACCGAACTAACCGCGCTGGTATATATCCATAATATCAGATAGGTGAGAACAGATTTTGGTGGAATAAATTGAACCGTCAAATAGTCTAAAAAAGTACACAAATTCACTGTCTGATTCTGAACGTGGAGTCCAAGTAGTTCTTTAGTTTAGGCCATCAATCAAAACCCACAATTTAGCTACTTTTGGAAGGCTCAGTTTTTTAGCAATAACTTTAGTTTAGCAAAGCAGTGGCGAGTTTGTTTATTCAAGGGCAAAACACGAAATCAGACTTATTCGGGCGTAAATAAAAGTCAAAAGACGGTAGTTTGTTTGTTTGTTTGTTTTTTATTTTTTGGAATGTCCATTTTAACTCACATGCACCTCAATTAATTCTTTTTTTGATTCAATCAAAGTAAACTATCTACAAAACAGGACTAAAGTATTCAATAGGAATAATTCTCTTATGATCTAGTCGTAAAGAATTGTCAAGACATAAATTCAAAACGTTTAGATTTATATGTCGTCTTTATTACTCATTGAGGTTCAAGAGAGTAGTTAACTTTTGTTTAAAAGTTCTTATTTGGTTTTCGAATTCTCGAAAGTTCTTCTTAGTCTTGTGTGTTTTAATTTATGCGCATTGTTTCTAATATTAGTACATATATATTTTGATAAACAACAATGGATCTAGTCCTCTCCTAACCAAACCGAGAAAGATAAAAAGGAAAATGAGAAAGAAGATGATATGTTCAATGGAAAATACTATTTGAACCTAAAAATTTGACATAATTTGTTAACATAATGACATGGCTTCATTGAAACAATTAGATTAACATCAAGTTTCAATGTTTGATGGAGCCCACAGTCAATTCAAAAGTCATAGTGAATTAGATCAACAAATTAAGTCAATAAATTAAGTCTTAATAGCATTGCTCTATGTTCAATAATCTAGTTGTACTTGGAGATTGAGGGGTTCCAGTCTCCTCAAGGTTTTGATTTTTTTAATTTATTCGAATATAAGTTGTCGTACTAGAATAAGACAAGTTGAGCTACGTCTAAACATAGAATTTACTTATAAAAATTNTGTCTCAGGAGCAGCTTAAGGGTATTCTCAAGAAACATGACACCAACGGAGACGGAAAGCTCAGCAGGGAAGAACTGAAGGCAGCCTTTCGCAGCCTAGGTTTGCAGTTCAGTGGCTGGAAAGCTTGGAGAGCCGTCCACCATGTCGACGCCAATAGAGATGGGTATGTTAGTGAAGAGGAGATGAATGAGCTTGTTAAGTATGCTATGCAATGGGGGTTTACTATTAATTAAAGTAGCTAGTCCGTTCAACTGTTTCAAAGAATGGGTCCAACTATTATCTGAACTAGCTACTTAGTTTACAACTTAAGTGTGTGAGGTTGTAAACCTGCAACTTTTAATTTTAATGAAAAAAATTAAGGTGTAACAATCTCTCTTCAGTTTTCTTTTCCTCGTTTGGTAAAAAGAAAATAACTAGTATTAAGGTAAACTATCTACATAAGGTCTCGTCGCATACTTTGACGTTGAAGAATAAGTTTAATTTCACCGAACTATCACATCTATGAAAATTCGAAACTTAAACATTAAGTAAATAAATTTGTATTCTTACCCACCGAACTAACCGCGCTGGTATATATCCATAATATCAGATAGGTGAGAACAGATTTTGGTGGAATAAATTGAACCGTCAAATAGTCTAAAAAAGTACACAAATTCACTGTCTGATTCTGAACGTGGAGTCCAAGTAGTTCTTTAGTTTAGGCCATCAATCAAAACCCACAATTTAGCTACTTTTGGAAGGCTCAGTTTTTTAGCAATAACTTTAGTTTAGCAAAGCAGTGGCGAGTTTGTTTATTCAAGGGCAAAACACGAAATCAGACTTATTCGGGCGTAAATAAAAGTCAAAAGACGGTAGTTTGTTTGTTTGTTTGTTTTTTATTTTTTGGAATGTCCATTTTAACTCACATGCACCTCAATTAATTCTTTTTTTGATTCAATCAAAGTAAACTATCTACAAAACAGGACTAAAGTATTCAATAGGAATAATTCTCTTATGATCTAGTCGTAAAGAATTGTCAAGACATAAATTCAAAACGTTTAGATTTATATGTCGTCTTTATTACTCATTGAGGTTCAAGAGAGTAGTTAACTTTTGTTTAAAAGTTCTTATTTGGTTTTCGAATTCTCGAAAGTTCTTCTTAGTCTTGTGTGTTTTAATTTATGCGCATTGTTTCTAATATTAGTACATATATATTTTGATAAACAACAATGGATCTAGTCCTCTCCTAACCAAACCGAGAAAGATAAAAAGGAAAATGAGAAAGAAGATGATATGTTCAATGGAAAATACTATTTGAACCTAAAAATTTGACATAATTTGTTAACATAATGACATGGCTTCATTGAAACAATTAGATTAACATCAAGTTTCAATGTTTGATGGAGCCCACAGTCAATTCAAAAGTCATAGTGAATTAGATCAACAAATTAAGTCAATAAATTAAGTCTTAATAGCATTGCTCTATGTTCAATAATCTAGTTGTACTTGGAGATTGAGGGGTTCCAGTCTCCTCAAGGTTTTGATTTTTTTAATTTATTCGAATATAAGTTGTCGTACTAGAATAAGACAAGTTGAGCTACGTCTAAACATAGAATTTACTTATAAAAATTAAACCAAGCTTCAATAAGAATTCAAATACTACAACCTTGTTTAACAATGTCTGTATTTAATCTTTCTTGGATGTTCTTCTCATTGTGTGTATTGGACTCGTAAAACTTTATCACAAGTTGGACTTGGAGATACATAAAAATGTAAGAGAGAGAACAAAATCCTTGATACACATTCAAGATTAGATTCATTCACTTAAGAAGTATGAGCTTATCGTCTATTATCTCTGAAGAATATACCCGATGGACCACCTTTTTACATGTATATGTACAAAGTTCTTGTTCATCTAAANTTAATTTTAATGAAAAAAATTAAGGTGTAACAATCTCTCTTCAGTTTTCTTTTCCTCATTTGGTAAAAAGAAAATAACTAGTATTAAGGTAAACTATCTACATAAGGTCTCGTCGCATACTTTGGCGTTGAAGAATAAGTTTAATTTCACCGAACTATCACATCTATGAAAATTCGAAACTTAAACATTAAGTAAACNTCTGTTTTTCCATGATTGAAGTTCGAAGCTTTTCTCGTACTAAAGCTGGGTTTACTCGAAGTTGCACATCCAAACAAGGTTTAATTTCACATGAAAATATTTTTTATTACTTACCCAATAAGAAAAGATTCTTTGTCAACAAAAATAAATAAAAATCAGCCAATTGAGACACACTGTAACAAATTTCCCGTTTAATGCATTTTCGGCCTTACTCAAATAATAAGAGTGTTCAAATCTCTGATTAGTTATAGTTTTATATCTTATCCAACTCTATTAATGGTTAGTCAAAAAAATTGGATAAGAATGCAGAAGAATTTTTAGTCTTTTAATTAAATCGGTTAGAAATGCAGAATAACCATTAATTTTCGTATTTCTATCCTACTCTAATTCTCTAACTATATAGTTTAAACTTAAATTAATTGTTATTATATTTGTGCAATAATTATGATATATTGATGTTTATGTTTTCTTGTGTTTTATTGNAAGACGGTAGTTTGTTTGTTTGTTTGTTTTTTATTTTTTGGAATGTCCATTTTAACTTACATGCACCTCAATTAATTCTTTTTTCGATTCAATCAAAGTAAACTATCTACAGAACAGGACTAAAGTATTCAATAGGGATAATTCTCTTATGATCTAGTCGTAAAGAATTGTCAAGACATAAATTCAAAACGTTTAGATTTATATTTCGTCTTTATTACTCATTGAGGTTCAAGAGAGTGGTTAACTTTTGTTTAAAAGTTCTTATTTGGTCTTCGAATTCTCGAAAGTTCTTCTTAGTCTTGTGTGTTTTAATTTATGCGCATTGTTTCTAATATTAGTACATATATATTTTGATAAACAACAATGGATCTAGTCCTCTCCTAACCAAACCGAGAAAGATAAAAAGGAAAATGAGAAAGAAGATGATATGTTCAATGGAAAATACTATTTGAACCTAAAAATTTGACATAATTTGTTAACATAATGACATGGGTTCATTGAAATAATTAGATTAACATCAAGTTTCAATGTTTGATGGAGCCCACAGTCAATTTAAAAGTCATAGTGAATTAGATCAACAAATTAAGTCAATAAATTATGTCTTAATAGCATTGCTCTATGTTCAATAATCTAGTTGTACTCGGAGATTGAGGGGGTTCCGGTCTCCTCAAGGTTTTGATTTTTTTAATTTATTCGAATATAAGTTGTCGTACTAGAATAAGGCAAGTTGAGCTACATCTAAACATAGAATTTACTTATAAAAATTAAACCAAGCTTCAATAAGAATTCAAATACTACAACCTTGTTTAACAATGTCTGTATTTAATCTTTCTTGGATGTTCTTCTCATTGTGTGTATTGGACTCGTAAAACTTTATCACAAGTTGGACTTGGAGATACATAAAAATGTAAGAGAGAGAACAAAATCCTTGATACGCATTCAAGATTAGATTCATTCACTTAAGAAGTATGAGCTTATCGTCTATTATCTCTGAGGAATATACCCGATGGACCACCTTTTTACATGTATATGTACAAAGTTCTTGTTCATCTAATACAGGGAAAAAAAAATGGGCCAGTGTCCAAGTCATGTCAAGTCAAATCTAGTTGTAGTATCGATCGATATTACTGCTCTTCTCCCAGCAACAGTTCTAACGAGCCCCACCATGGTCAAGTGTCCCACCATCCTGCCGAAAGGTGGAGAATCTGTTTTTCCATGATTGAAGTTCGAAGCTTTTCTCGTACTAAAGCTGGGTTTACTCGAAGTTGCACATCCAAACAAGGTTTAATTTCACATGAAAATATTTTTTATTACTTACCCAATAAGAAAAGATTCTTTGTCAACAAAAAAATAAATAAAAAATCAGCCAATTGAGACACACTGTAACAAATTTCCCGTTTAATGCATTTTCGGCCTTACTCAAATAATAAGAGTGTTCAAATTTCTGATTAGTTATAGTTTTCTATCTTATCCAACTCTATTAAATGGTTAGTCAAAAAAATTGGATAAGAATGCAGAAGAATTTTTAGTCTTTCAATTAAATCGGTTAGAAATGCAGAATAGCCATTAATTTTCGTATTTCTATCCTACTCTAATTCTCTAACTATATAGTTTAAATTTAAATTAATTGTTATTATATTTGTGCAATAATTATGATATATTGATGTTAATGTTTTTTTGTGTTTTATTATAATTGTTTTAAGTTTCAGTGTTATTAGTTTATTATGTTGTTAAATTGGTACATGTTATTTAATTAAATTGTTAAAATGATCCAAAAATTAATAATTACAAAAGTGTTCATCCGATTTCTTACCCAATTAATTTGGCCGAAAATTGTACCACACTTGATTGAGTAGGGTAGATCAAAAAAAAAAATTCTTCTGTAAAAAATTCACTCCCTAGTCCCAAGTATCAAACTGGTGGTCTCATGCTAATTATTTTGGATAACAAGGGGAAAAATCACAGAAAATTAATCAATTAAGAGACTGTAACTAGTAAAGACGCCATGGTACAATTAACCACGGGTTTAGCTCGGGTTGCAAGAGACTCACCAACTCTTAACTCATGACAACCGTTGATTCGATTAGGCGGGAGAGGACCAAACAGTGACGACAGCAAGGTGACGCCAGCGTCAGGGATTGCTGATGCATTGATGCTTTCGGACAATGACCTAAACCAGGTTGCATCGACCTCTTTCATTTGCTTAGGATTTTTCCATAGTTAAAAAGTTGTTTTAACATTAAGTATATATTTTACTAATTACCAGTAAAGCGTCGGGTATTTTCGTATATATAAATCGGGTCGTGGTTTTTTTTTTTTCAGAGGTTCATTTTTATTTTCTATTCGTATAATTATATGTATATTCTCGAAATTAACTCATATTTTTTATTCACATATGCAACATGTAAAGTCACTTGTTATTGATAAACTGGTCATAATTCGTACCTGAAGGCAGGATAAAACATAAAATTTGAATCCCAACAAACAGATCTCATTATATTAAATAATAATTGTTCTTTCCTTCATTTCTTTGATTACATCATTCAAGATTTAGTTTTATCCATTATTTTTTAAAAAATATTGACAAAATTTTCTCAAAAATACGTAATTCAATAAAATTTTCTCAACATATGTATGCTATCGTATATGGATAATATCTGAAATAAAAATTATGTTAAATTATAAATTAATCAAATATTAAATGATTGAACATGTAATAGAAATTAGTGAAGTAACTTATTTCTTGTTATTCAGATTTTAAACTCGTTATTCCTGTTTGCCATGAACTCGGCATATTTGTTAACAGAACCCTTAATTTCGTAACAGCTTGCATGTCAAAAACAATTACCCTTTACCCATCAGCCACCTTGCCCTCCCAATCATCACCACACAGTTATATACCAGAGTTAAAAGGTATGCAAACTGTGCAATGCAAACATATATATGTTTACACATATCTTCTTTATATGCTACATATGACAGATGACTAAACCCAGTAAATTTAGCAAGCTAAAATTCTCACCCCTAAATGCTTCTGTGCAAACTCCACAAGGTTGTTGATCTCGTAAATGCAATTCTCACCCCTAAATTTACTGGGTTAAGTCATCAGTAGAGGCTTACACATTCAAAAATGTACATCAAAAATGAAATCCGAATAACAAGAAACAAGTTACATTCAAAACAATTATACATCAAAAATGTGGAGGCTTACACATTCCAGCAAGTTTTCCAATAAATGCTTGNAGGTTGTTGATCTCGTAAATGCAATTCTCACCCCTAAATTTACTGGGTTAAGTCATCTGTAGAGGCTTACACATTCAAAAATGTACATCAAAAATGAAATCCGAATAACAAGAAACAAGTAACATTAAAAACAATTATACATCAAAAATGTGGAGGCTTACACATTCCAGCACGTTTTCCAATAAATGCTTACATGAGATCGTTGTTGCATTCATGGAATTACATGTAGACACTATAAAATTTACAAAACTTGCTTGATTTTGGAGCAAGATTCATGTGGAACTGATCGATATCTCTTTTCTTTAATAATCAATCTTACAGATAACTTACTACTGCCAATAAATCAGCTAACCCAACACAAATAAGCAGAATATCAGTAAAATAGTATCTTCCTCTTTAACATCATCATGAAACACTGCCCTTCACTGCCAATGCATTAGCCAGCAAGCGAACACGAAAAAGTACATGTTGGATGAAGCTGTCTTGACGTCTGGATAATCATCCATAGATTGCTTTCATTGCTAATAAATTGGATGGCCAGTAACTTGACTGTGAACTAGAATCAAAAGATGCCTTGGCGGAACATGACCCTGTAATCAGTTAGTCACATGTGATTGGTAAGAAAAACTTGCAAACAAACAAACCCAAACTCTAAAAGTCTTAATCAGAAAGGGGTCCCAGGCATCATCAAATGAATGGACACGAAACATTATAAACCGTCACCAGCCTTTCAAGTCCAATATGTGTCTTGAAGATGCCTTCAAGTATTCAAGTATGTTCTATTGCCAAAAAGGCCTTTTGAGTCCAAAATTTGACCGATTATTTTGCCAGCAGAATAAGCAGATCCCATCACCTTTGTTTAGCTAGTTATCGTCTTCTTCCTTTTCCCCCTAATATGTAGTTCACACGCAACTATGTTCCAATCAAGAAGTAAACCCTACACCATCCCTTTTTGGGTTGGCAGAATAAAGTATAAACTATAATTAATTGTTTAGCTCAGTTCCGTCTTCCACATTCACAAATGGGTTTCTATGTATGCTGTAGAGTTGTTCTTAGATATTCAATCGGTTATCATACCTCCAATCTTATAATAAAAGTTGATGCATATAGTCTTGTCAATTATAGAGAACATCCCAATATCTCTCTCCTGAATTTTCTCCATATAACAAGCTTAACTGAGATGTTACCTAAGTACTTTCAGCGCAAGCAGGCCACCATTCATATGTCTCCAATTTAAAATTGTTAAGAGATGTAGTTTCTGAAACCTTCAAATATCCATAGCAGGAGGAAGTTTCCAGTAATTCCATGAATTAAAGTCCTCCTGAAACCAAGGGGAAGAAAGAAAAAATCAAATCAAAATGGAACAGATTTCAGTCAGTCTGCAAAGGGAACAAAATAGACCTGAAATTTCAGAATCCAATACACTACATGAAGTGGAAGGGGCTTGGGCATATAAGGTGAGTAGATCTGAAATGAAACTTTGGCAGCACTCACACAGCCAAAGGGATAATTGGAAATTCCAGCAACAACAGCAGAAAAAAATTAAGAACATATCTTGCTTGAAACTTACGGGTGCATAAATGAAACTACAATGGCTCCTTCTCCCAACAGAGGAGCAATATCTAACAAAAGTGCTCAAGCAGAAAACATAAAGGTCCGAAAATAGATTGGGTGGGGCAAGGGTAAAGGTGGACAAACTAGTAACCATGAGTTTAATTTCATATTAACAGTATACAAAACTACCCCTGAATGATAATGAATTCAGCGAAAAAAGATACTGAATAGACTAACCTGCTCAGACGATGACATGGGAGGAAACATGTCATGCACAAGATCGTGAAGTGTAGTATATGACCTCGTGTGAACACGGTGATTCACAGCAACCTCGCCCTATACTCTCACAACATCACCACAAAAGCTTTCAGAATAATTTCAGATGCACTGAGACCTCATAGGATTTGTTATCAAGATTTTCCTTAAGTACCTTGGGATTAATGATGAAGATTTTTCCTTTTGGGATTCCAACCTTAAGATAGCTAAACTCATCGGTGTCTCTGTTTCCAAAACCAGCATAGAATGGATTCCTATCAAATGGAAATAATGCCTTGATATCCTGGAAAAATAGAGAAACAGAAAAACAAAATTAGGAATCTATTGTTTTCAGCAGCATAATTTACAAGTGCAATGAAAGTTCATCCCCAATTCGTTCCTCCTCCACCCATGACCCCCCACCTCCCCTGTGCGTCCTTCCTGCCTGTGTCTTGTATACTATAGTAATTAAGTTAGGTATTAAATTGAACAGGAATGATCAACAAGATTCAAATGGTAGATGTTATAGAAGTCTGAGGTCATTAGTAGATTGGAATTGAATAAGGAATGAGAATCAATAGGTATGATAATATAATTTGCATATTATCCATTATTATGTAAAGGCGTATTTCATGAGACCAGGTTAAATGTGTGAAGCATTGGAAGAGTTGCTCATGCAGCACAGTGTTTAATTATATATGGCACACAGTTGAGCCGACTTACATTGATGTGATTCAGTGTTGCCTGTTTTCAGTTTTTACAATCACCATGACTGCCAACAACTATAAAATAAGCAACATCATTTAATGAAAACCCAAACTGTCTTTTCTTTAAATTACAACAAATGAAAAGAAATTGGTTCTAAAAAAGAATAGAGTTTATGCACGTTGATTTTCTCATGGAATTCACATGGTTGGTCTAAGCACCCCTTATATCCTCTAGCAGTGAGAATCTCAAATATGTAATTTTTATCAAAAAGTCAAAATAAAAAATCATGGTGATGTTGAAGAGGTAAAAGTTATAAGATGGATGAAGATACATAGCAATAGTGAGAAACTAGTAACTAACCTCCAAGCAAGCAATTTTGAATTCATGAGGAGCTCTTCTAATAACTGCAAAATTTAGGGAGAGTAATTATCCACACGGCTAACAAGTTCCATTGGAGTATTATATTTTCTTGTATGAAAGATCACATGTTAAATATTATGTGGAAATTGGTCACTTAAAATTAAAAATCCCGAATGATTCCGGGGGCGGAGGGAGGGTGGGGGCAATTGCCCCTACTGAAATTTTGAAAACATTTCGGGTTAGTTTTAAATTATAATAAAAATTAAATTTTCTAATAACTTACCCCCACTCATTTTTTTTAATGAACTAAAAATTTAGACCCAATGTTCACTCATATAGACATAGTCACACGATTATTTATTTAGTCTCTAGTTATTGCAATGATTCACTTAAGTTACCGAATCAATCCTTCTTTGAATTCGATTACTAAGACATAAATTAATATTTTTGACTGATTATCTAAGTTCGAATATACTATATCATATTCTAAGGTTTTAGATTTGGATATAACAAAATTTGATCTGGTTATGATTCAATTTGATATGCATACACAAATACATATATATAAACATTTGATGAAAACAAGCGATGAAATTGAATTAAAATTAAAATGCGATAAATATATATATATATATATATATATTAGATTGGATTTTTTATAAAATTCATAATATTTAATGGATTCGAATATGATTTATAAAAACGAAATTAGTTAAATGGTTAGACTAGATTCAAAATAGAGTTTTCAAGTCAAATTGTTATTCGGATGAATCGAAATCTTATCATTGACAAGCCCACTCACAAAGAGATATGTCAAAATAGCATTCTCTATGAAAACTATCCTTATTCTAGTTCTATATACAAACTAATTTTATATTTGTTTTTCTTAATCAAATTCTACCTTTTTCACGAGTTTTAATATGTGAAATCTTTGAAAGTAAAATAAAAATAATATGAAAAATTATTTTATAAAAGGTGTTAGATTAGTAATATTTTTTTTTTATAAAGAATGAAATTTTGAGAAAATAATCATGTTTGCAAGATACAACAAATTTTGATGATTGTTGTTTAGTCGTTCTCTTCAACTTGATGGTTGCCCCCTATTAAAAGACACTAACTTCGCCCCAGGATTCCATAATTGCAAATGATACAAGCTTGGAATCACAAACATATCAATGCAAGAGCAATCTAAATGAGCATTGTAGATTTTGAAAAGCAGGAAATAAGTCTAATCTATTTCCTTGAATGGGTTTGTTCCCTTTTAACTTTTCCAGGCATTATATGGAACAACATAGCATGTGGGAAGAAACTATCAATCACAATACGCATATGAGTTGATATGGCTTGGGGCTGACGGACAGCACCCGCAATGAGCAAATACTATTCTTTCACTTTTGATTAAAAGACAAGATTGATTGAACTACTCTCATGATTATTTACCTAAGAATCATAAAAAAGAGGACAACCCATAACAATCTAGATGAAAAAAGAAAGAAATATCCCAAAGCAACAATAGCCTGGATCCACACGAGTCACAAAAGGGAGGGGGAGGAAAGGAGTGAGACCTCAGGTTATAATTAAACAAATGCTAGCAATTTAACTGGGGCTCCCTGTACCATGTCAGAACTTTGTCATTGGTTTAATACACACATACCTGGTCAGCCAATTTGGGAAGAAAAAACTGTTGCATGCTACTTTCAGAAACAGTTCAAAGGTGAAAATTCCACCTATCGGAAATTCCAGAAATTTTTAGAGGAGATTTAAGAAGGACAAGATATAGTTACCTTCTCGAAACAATGAGGGAAAAAGTCCATCAGGTGAAATAACAACAGGTCCATCCGGTAAAACCTTTCCATCCTGCAAGAACATATAAATAGAGTTAAGAGGGGAAGATTGCAATGCATAAACAGAAAACTTGGACTTTTCTGTAACGAAATTGAAACAGTATATTAATCACCTGCGTAAGGTTAAATAGGAACTGTCTAGTGTGATAGGCCTGAGAAATTGCACGTGCACTTAGAAAAAGCAATTGATATCCATTTTCCTGCAGCATGCAGAAACAAAATTGTTTATTGATCAAATAAGGCTACAGTGTCGCTAGTCATGGATCACGAGTGATATGATATATAAAATATATAGAAGCTTTCTACATTCCCACACCCCCACAAAAAGGAAATGGAAATTAAAAACATGCAAAGCCAATAGGAAGAATCGCCTTGTTAGAATGGTGGCATCACATGACAACACAGATATACCACCAGAATGTGGGAGTACCAATGAACTGGATATTTGCATCAAGGGTGACAAGTGCATTACAAAACATCACTTCAAATTGATATAAATCTATTGAGAAATACCAAATGTCATAGGCACATCAGACAAGACACAACAAACCTTAATAGCGGAAAAGAGATGTGTAACACCTGTCTGCGACCAATCTCTTCCAACCAAAGGCATGAACTGCCCTAGAACATCAGATCTGTTGAAAACAAAAAAGAGAAATTAAACAAGCCTGAGGGAAATCTCAGCCAACAAAGTGCTTGCTTTTGACAAAGACACCATATGATTGACAAAACATACAGTAGCAAATTCATAGAACAACAAAGTGACTCATTTTATTCAACTAAAAACACAACAAAATATTTGATCGCAGAAAATTATATGTATTATNGACAAAACATACAGTAGCAAATTCATAGAACAACAAAGTGACTCATTTTATTCAACTGAAAACACAAACAAAATATTTGATCGCAGAAAATTATATGTAGTAATCTTATCTACAAGTAAATTCAAACACTTTTGATATTCAACTCTGTTACATAGTGCTGAATGGTTGTTGCACTGATGTAAATCAGGTCACTTATATGTGCAAAATTCATATTTGAAACAATTTTACCAATTTTATTTTAACTTTTAAGATATGAGATATAAAACAAAACATAAAAGCATGACTTTTAGATTTCTATAGCACCTTAGTATAAAAAGTGACGGGACATAATCTTTCATATAAAAAAGAAAGCACAGCCTCACTTAGTAATTGTCCCATCAACATCTGAGATCACAATGCGAGTATCCCATCTCCACAAATAAATTATGGCCTCAACCTGTGAAGTAGGAACTTTGATTAANGGGTTAGTTTTAAATTATAATAAAAATTAAATTTTCTAATAACTTACCCCCACTCATTTTTTTTAATGAACTAAAAATTTAGACCCAATGTTCACTCATATAGACATAGTCACACGATTATTTATTTAGTCTCTAGTTATTGCAATGATTCACTTAAGTTACCGAATCAATCCTTCTTTGAATTCGATTACTAAGACATAAATTAATATTTTTGACTGATTATCTAAGTTCGAATATACTATATCATATTCTAAGGTTTTAGATTTGGATATAACAAAATTTGATCTGGTTATGATTTAATTTGATATGCATACACAAATACATATATATAAACATTTGATGAAAACAAGCGATGAAATTGAATTAAAATTAAAATGCGATAAATATATATATATATATATATATATTAGATTGGATTTTTTATAAAATTCATAATATTTAATGGATTCGAATATGATTTATAAAAACGAAATTAGTTAAATGGTTAGACTAGATTCAAAATAGAGTTTTCAAGTCAAATTGTTATTCGGATGAATCGAAATCTTATCATTGACAAGCCCACTCACAAAGAGATATGTCAAAATAGCATTCTCTATGAAAACTATCCTTATTCTAGTTCTATATACAAACTAATTTTATATATGTTTTTCTTAATCAAATTCTACCTTTTTCACGAGTTTTAATATGTGAAATCTTTGAAAGTAAAATAAAAATAATATGAAAAATTATTTTATAAAAGGTGTTAGATTAGTAATATTTTTTTTTTATAAAGAATGAAATTTTGAGAAAATAATCATGTTTGCAAGATACAACAAATTTTGATGATTGTTGTTTAGTCGTTCTCTTCAACTTGATGGTTGCCCCCTATTAAAAGACACTAACTTTGCCCCAGGATTCCATAATTGCAAATGATACAAGCTTGGAATCACAAACATATCAATGCAAGAGCAATCTAAATGAGCATTGTAGATTTTGAAAAGCAGGAAATAAGTCTAATCTATTTCCTTGAATGGGTTTGTTCCCTTTTAACTTTTCCAGGCATTATATGGAACAACATAGCATGTGGGAAGAAACTATCAATCACAATACGCATATGAGTTGATATGGCTTGGGGCTGACGGACAGCACCCGCAATGAGCAAATACTATTCTTTCACTTTTGATTAAAAGACAAGATTGATTGAACTACTCTCATGATTATTTACCTAAGAATCATAAAAAAGAGGACAACCCATAACAATCTAGATGAAAAAAGAAAGAAATATCCCAAAGCAACAATAGCCTGGGTCCACACGAGTCACAAAAGGGAGGGGGAGGAAAGGAGTGAGACCTCAGGTTATAATTAAACAAATGCTAGCAATTTAACTGGGGCTCCCTGTACCATGTCAGAACTTTGTCATTGGTTTAATACACACATACCTGGTCAGCCAATTTGGGAAGAAAAAACTGTTGCATGCTACTTTCAGAAACAGTTCAAAGGTGAAAATTCCACCTATCGGAAATTCCAGAAATTTTTAGAGGAGATTTAAGAAGGACAAGATATAGTTACCTTCTCGAAACAATGAGGGAAAAAGTCCATCAGGTGAAATAACAACAGGTCCATCCGGTAAAACCTTTCCATCCTGCAAGAACATATAAAGAGTTAAGAGGGGAAGATTGCAATGCATAAACAGAAAACTTGGACTTTTCTGTAACGAAATTGAAACAGTATATTAATCACCTGCGTAAGGTTAAATAGGAACTGTCTAGTGTGATAGGCCTGAGAAATTGCACGTGCACTTAGAAAAAGCAATTGATATCCATTTTCCTGCAGCATGCAGAAACAAAATTGTTTATTGATCAAATAAGGCTACAGTGTCGCTAGTCATGGATCACGAGTGATATGATATATAAAATATATAGAAGCTTTCTACATTCCCACACCCCCACAAAAAGGAAATGGAAATTAAAAACATGCAAAGCCAATAGGAAGAATCGCCTTGTTAGAATGGTGGCATCACATGACAACACAGATATACCACCAGAATGTGGGAGTACCAATGAACTGGATATTTGCATCAAGGGTGACAAGTGCATTACAAAACATCACTTCAAATTGATATAAATCTATTGAGAAATACCAAATGTCATAGGCACATCAGACAAGACACAACAAACCTTAATAGCGGAAAAGAGATGTGTAACACCTGTCTGCGACCAATCTCTTCCAACCAAAGGCATGAACTGCCCTAGAACATCAGATCTGTTGAAAACAAAAAAGAGAAATTAAACAAGCCTGAGGGAAATCTCAGCCAACAAAGTGCTTGCTTTTGACAAAGACACCATATGATTGACAAAACATACAGTAGCAAATTCATAGAACAACAAAGTGACTCATTTTATTCAACTGAAAACACAAACAAAATATTTGATCGCAGAAAATTATATGTAGTAATCTTATCTACAAGTAAATTCAAACACTTTTGATATTCAACTCTGTTACATAGTGCTGAATGGTTGTTGCACTGATGTAAATCAGGTCACTTATATGTGCAAAATTCATATTTGAAACAATTTTACCAATTTTATTTTAACTTTTAAGATATGAGATATAAAACAAAACATAAAAGCATGACTTTTAGATTTCTATAGCACCTTAGTATAAAAAGTGACGGGACATAATCTTTCATATAAAAAAGAAAGCACAGCCTCACTTAGTAATTGTCCCATCAACATCTGAGATCACAATGCGAGTATCCCATCTCCACAAATAAATTATGGCCTCAACCTGTGAAGTAGGAACTTTGATTAAGCTCTCGCCCACATAACACATACAGGATGAAAGCAAGAGATGGCAATAGAGAGAGTTTCCTTCATTTAGAAAGGGAGAATACAAGTTGAACAATGCAACAAAAACAAACCTGCTGCTTCCCCAGCATTGCAGTTGAGAAAGTGAATTTTACTGCATTTCTCCCTTCCTTCAGATTCAAGGATGCCAGTTGTTCAGATGTTGGAGATCCAACCCTAATTTTCCTTTTATTTACCTTGGACTTAGGTTCATCTTTTTCCTTGTTCATGCTGCTTGAGCTATTCAAAGCATTTTCAGAATCAGGATTTGTGGTGATATTCAGGGTTGGCTGGGTAATGTTCATGTTTCTTGATTGTTTGAAAGGAAAGGGCCAAAGTTTCCAGTTCCCACTGGAGGCATCAATAGCTTTGGATGGATCCCCTGCAAGAGTTTTCTCAACTCAGTCAATAGCTAGCACGCCTTTTGGTCAAACTATGTGTTCACTTCCACAAGGAATCATCCCTAAAACAGCTTCATTCCATTAAAAGTAATGATCTCAGATTCTGACTACAAGCTTACAGCCACCTATTCTTTATTATAGCAAGACCAAAGAGATATCCCTCAAGCACAAAACATATATATAAGACTTACTAAAGTTCAACTGCAAAATGAAAATACCATGCGTCTGCTGAGAGCATTTAGGCATCAGCCCCCATCTTCTCACCAAAATGCCCCTGGTGCTATCCAGACAAAATGAGACTATTCTATTTTGGTTTCTAGTGGCATCTAAAGGCCCATGTCTATCCTTAATTGGGCCATTAACCCCAAAAAAGAGTGGAGTTTTCCAATAACAGTCATTACCAAAAATGTAATAAAAAGGAAAAACACCCTTTCTGAAATCCACAAAATAGTATTACACATAATATGGAAGACGTACTGAACTCATTTCATGAAATATAAAACAAATAGAACTTATTCCATTTCACCTCAGTGTCCAAGTGTAAGCCCTTGATCGTTAAATGGTAAATAGGAAAATGTGCTCTTACCAATTGCCTCTGAAATCTTAGCTTCCTCGATTGTTGGTTGTGCCTGGGACAGTTTGTCTTCATTGTCTACATCTGACTTAATGAAACTTGAAACATTTCTCCTTAGAGTAGTCCATTTGGAAATTTTGGAATTTGAATCTACAGAATGGCCTAAAGAATGATGAAGATTATGTGTAACCAAATCATTACCGTGAGACCACATATTTGGTAAAGATTTGACCACCTGCCCAACTTCCTCACCCAAAACTTTCCCACTTGTAGGAATGTTAATTTCACTCGATATTGTTTTTGATATTCTCAATTCTTCAACATCATTTGGTAGTTTTTCATGAATAAGCTTGTCCGTGGATGAATCTGGCTCACAGCTGGAACTGAGAGACTCAATTGCTGCTTTAGTGCCTCTTGGTGTAATTGAGGCATAATTTTCATTCTCCACAAGATCAGGAAAAAGAGAGACGCATTGAACTTCAGTCAGCTTAAAATCATCCATATCGCCAAAGAGGAGATCTTCTCTTGAACCCTTTGGTGGTGATATATTTATTGACTCCGTTTGGACACAATCACCACTAAACTCTTGAATACCACCAACAGGCTCCAAATAGGATTGGATTTCACCCGGGATATTTTTTTCCCTAGTACTGTTCTCATCTTTAGCATGATTGACAGAGTTGCTGAAACCAGAAATGGTGAAAGTGTTATGTGATGCAACTACTTCTGTTGAACCACCGATTGGGTGAACATTGACCATTTGAGAATACATTTCAGTTACAATACTATGTGCACTCGAGTTTAAAGAAGTTTCTTCTCTTTCAAGAATCTTTGCATCATCAAGCACGTTACCACAATTCTTATCTCCTAAAAATCTTTCACAGTTTGAGGGTTCTTTTGCCGCCAGCAAACCAGCTTGTGGGTGAGAGTTTAGTTCAGAAATAAGCTCAGCTGTCTTATGCCAGGTTTCTGCATGGACACAGACTTCACCACATCCTCCACAAGAAATACAAAAAATTGCATTTTCTTGTTCAGCAAAACCATCAAACCCTATCCTTGAGCTCTCTGAAGTTTCAGCAGGAAAAAGAGATTGGAGTGTATCTGCTCCATTCTCTTCCTTGGAGACAACACCGTTTGAAACACTGGCATCCTTGTCATCTAAAACCTTTTCATCATTGAGCTTCCTGCTGGAGCAACCTTCAAGCTCAGTAGAATCTGGAATTTGTAAAACATGAGTTTCAATCCCAGAGATGACAGCACTCTGCTCATGCTCTGCATTGGTTACACCTAATACGTCATTATTTCTTGAGGTTTCAGAATTCAAACCATTGTTATCTTCCAGACCACTTTGACCTATAGTGGATGTTCTGATAACACACTCGGTGATCAAACATGACATTTCCACACCAGTTTCCCCATCAGAACTCTCTTGTTCTTCAAAACTAGAACAAGAGCGGTTGCCCATTTCATGATCAGGAGAAGCAGTTTCCCCATTTGACACCAGATTGTCCAAACCATATTCCTTATTATCATCAACCAGTGAATCTACCTTGCTCTGTTGATCATTAGTATCCAAATCTTTATCTGCTTCACCATCACAAACATCTGGAGTGGAAAGCTTTAAAGTATTATCTTTCCTGAGCCTGCTAGAGGCGAGATTGGTAGACCACCTCACCTCCAACAGATCAGCTGCAATCTCAGCTCGCTCCAATGAGTCTGCCCTAACAACACCAGCGGCATCTTCTTCCTTCTGAAAGCTATCCTCTTTCATTGACTTCCGTCCAAACATAAACCCCAAAATCTGAGACCTTCGGGAATTTGTCCGAGCCATAACCTTCACATTGCTGATATCTATCTCGGCAACTGAATTAGACTGATCAGCATCATAATTGGAACTCTTGGACTTCAATGGCCTTCTACTCCGGGACTGCCCATCTGTATCCTCCCCTGAGGATGAAGGAGATGACACAGATTCCCCTTCTTCTACATCCACCTCCCTAAGAAAGTAAGCTTCTCCTTTATGATCCAAATACATGTGGAAATCCGCTTCAGCCCCATTAACACTAATGTTAACGACCTTCTCTTTCGTTTTCAAAACCCCTTGAAATTTCCCAAACCGAACATACCAAGGCGATGACTTGAAGCTCCCATCTTGTTGTTTGACCACGATGATATCTACAGCGCCACCAAATGGATGAAAAGGGCCAGAGACGGTATAAACGCCCCGAGTGATGTAGTTGCCTAGCCTCTCCACAGCATACATCTTGAAAGAATTCGAATTTCACCAACCACCCAGATCATAAGATCTTGAAATCGAATCACAAATGAAAACCCAATTCATCCCCACAATTCTTTTTAACTCATAAACTACATCGCATCAATCCGATAAAATCAAATCCTCTCTCTATACAAATACAACAGTGTCATCAATAACTCCAAATTTACGGCACACCCAGATCAAAAATGTCAATACCGGATCATTGTTCAAGAACCGAATGAATCGCCCCACGCAATCGGAAATCTTATCAGCTTAAAAGAGAGAAACGATTAAAACAATTTCTCCAGACCAATAAAATCCAAGAAACCCACAAAAATTGCTATATTTGGAAAGGACCCAATAAGTTAATCACGAACTAATCAACACAATCTCCATCAAATACAAATCCCAGCAAAGTGTAGATTTTAGAGAAAGACCTATAACGATTAAACCGCCAAAGACCCAGCGTCGAAGAACAGGTGGCGTGAAAAGCATATTCTTTAGATTATTCGAATTTGTCAAGCACATAATCATTGACACATCCCACGAGAAATGAACCCGTATTATATTAATGCATATGTAGCAACTTAAAAAGAGCAATTTGGCAAACAAATAACCTGAAGAGAATTAGGGACGCAAGCCAGTTTTGGTCAACAGTTTTCAAACTTGTCCAATCTCTATTCCCCACAGAGAGAGAGAGAGAAATGGCGCTTGCTTTCTTGGAATTTGGAAACGTCGTCGATGATGAGATAGAAAGATCTTCATGATCGGCTGTGACACGTCACATGGAGATAATTGAGGCTGGAGTCGGTGGAGTGTTTTAATAAGTGGGGGGACTGGGGACACGAGGGTCTGTCCAGTCCAATGTTTTCTTAACCACTCTTCTTTCTCCTCCCTCTCGGAAAATCTCTTCATTCTGTGTTTTGAATGTGACGGAACCAAACGAATCTTCAATACCCTTCGGAAGGTCCAACGTTTTGGGTATCGCAATGTTTATGGTATGGGATCGCAGGGCTCAACCATATGGTGGAGCTTAGAGCACGACCATGCGAGCAGAGTAAAATCGCAATTTTTAAAGCCATACTTCCAATTTTATGTGTTTTTTTCCAATATATGTGGGAGAGATTATCCGACGACGTTAATACATTTCTTTTTCAAGCCACACTGCAATGTTGTTCTCGGAAGCATTTGAGGCTCTATCCATTGGCCTGACCATAAGGTAAATGATTAAAGTTCGCTCGAGTATGATTTTGGATCCAAAAGAGAAATTTACAAATATTAGTAACCATTTACGGTTATTATTAATTAATCTGTGTAAATACCATGTTCCATAGCACATGGCAGACGTGTAAGGAATAAATGTATAGCAGAGAGAGAGAGAGAGAGGTGTGTATGCAGTGTCAAACTGGGAATTTTGTATCTCCGGTTTCAAGTTTTTGGACGAATAATGAGTACAATAGTGGGCAAATCAACAGGGGGTCACATCCATTTTAGTGGATGAAGAACATGTTTTTGCAGGATTAATAATTTATCGTGTGTTTGTGTTTTTTTTTGGTTTTTTGTTTTCACTTTTTGTTAAAAAAAAAAAAAGTAATAACATATTTGTTATGTGTTTTTATTTATTTTTATATCTTATTATTTTGAAAACAAGGTCCAAATTTGTAAATACCAAAAATGATATTTTTAAAAATATCCAAAACTGAAAACACGCCTGTAACAATATTTACAATTAATGAGGTCCATTCTTGGAATCTCATTAACAACAAAATAATATTTTTTTTANTACAAATACAACAGTGTCATCAATAACTCCAAATTTACGGCACACCCAGATCAAAAATGTCAATACCGGATCATTGTTCAAGAACCGAATGAATCGCCCCACGCAATCGGAAATCTTATCAGCTTAAAAGAGAGAAACGATTAAAACAATTTCTCCAGACCAATAAAATCCAAGAAACCCACAAAAATTGCTATATTTGGAAAGGACCCAATAAGTTAATCACGAACTAATCAACACAATCTCCATCAAATACAAATCCCAGCAAAGTGTAGATTTTAGAGAAAGACCTATAACGATTAAACCGCCAAAGACCCAGCGTCGAAGAACAGGTGGCGTGAAAAGCATATTCTTTAGATTATTNTCTCCATCAAATACAAATCCCAGCAAAGTGTAGATTTTAGAGAAAGACCTATAACGAATAAACCGCCAAAGACCCAGCGTCGAAGAACAGGTGGCGTGAAAAGCATATTCTTTAGATTATTCGAATTTGTCAAGCACATAATCATTGACACATCCCACGAGAAATGAACCCGTATTATATTAATGCATATGTAGCAACTTAAAAAGAGCAATTTGGCAAACAAATAACCTGAAGAGAATTAGGGACGCAAGCCAGTTTTGGTCAACAGTTTTCAAACTTGTCCAATCTCTATTCCCCACAGAGAGAGAGAGAGAAATGGCGCTTGCTTTCTTGGAATTTGGAAACGTCGTCGATGATGAGATAGAAAGATCTTCATGATCGGCTGTGACACGTCACATGGAGATAATTGAGGCTGGAGTCGGTGGAGTGTTTTAATAAGTGGGGGGACTGGGGACACGAGGGTCTGTCCAGTCCAATGTTTTCTTAACCACTCTTCTTTCTCCTCCCTCTCGGAAAATCTCTTCATTCTGTGTTTTGAATGTGACGGAACCAAACGAATCTTCAATACCCTTCGGAAGGTCCAACGTTTTGGGTATCGCAATGTTTATGGTATGGGATCGCAGGGCTCAACCATATGGTGGAGCTTAGAGCACGACCATGCGAGCAGAGTAAAATCGCAATTTTTAAAGCCATACTTCCAATTTTATGTGTTTTTTTCCAATATATGTGGGAGAGATTATCCGACGACGTTAATACATTTCTTTTTCAAGCCACACTGCAATGTTGTTCTCGGAAGCATTTGAGGCTCTATCCATTGGCCTGACCATAAGGTAAATGATTAAAGTTCGCTCGAGTATGATTTTGGATCCAAAAGAGAAATTTACAAATATTAGTAACCATTTACGGTTATTATTAATTAATCTGTGTAAATACCATGTTCCATAGCACATGGCAGACGTGTAAGGAATAAATGTATAGCAGAGAGAGAGAGAGAGAGGTGTGTATGCAGTGTCAAACTGGGAATTTTGTATCTCCGGTTTCAAGTTTTTGGACGAATAATGAGTACAATAGTGGGCAAATCAACAGGGGGTCACATCCATTTTAGTGGATGAAGAACATGTTTTTGCAGGATTAATAATTTATCGTGTGTTTGTGTTTTTTTTTGGTTTTTTGTTTTCACTTTTTGTTAAAAAAAAAAAAGTAATAACATATTTGTTATGTGTTTTTATTTATTTTTAAATCTTATTATTTTGAAAATAAGGTCCAAATTTGTAAATACCCAAAATGATATTTTTAAAAATATCCAAAACTGAAAACACGCCTGTAACAATATTTACAATTAATGAGATCCAAATCTCATTAACAACAAAATAATATTTTTTTTGTGCCAACTATAAAAACCTCATTTTCTTTTATTTTTTCGTCTCTTTCTCTCTTTTGTATCCCTCTCACGCTCGTTTTTCTCCCTATTCTGAAAGACGATGACGATGACGATGACGAAGACAAAAACGAAATCTAGATTGTATCTCTCGCTCATTTCTGTTTAACTTTATATATATATATTAGTTATTACTTGTGTCTGAAGGTACAGAATAACAAACAATAAAACAATGGTGGTGTTAAAAAACGGTGATAATTATAATGGGTGATAATAACCGTGATGACAGTGACAGCAGCAATGTTAGTGTCAGCGTCAACAACAGTGGAAAGAGCATAAATAGTCATAAGAAAATGAGTTCAAATTTTGTCAATTTTTTTGAATTAAGTCATAAGGGATTTATCAATTTTAAATAACTTAGTCTCGGTTAATTTGGGCATAAATAGTCTAATTTTGTCGGTAAAAACAAGGTTCAAACACTCTTAGCCGATGAAGTTGAAAACAAAATGATTAAATCGGTTGAAACACGTGTTGAACAACCAATGAACCAAACAACCACAGCGGCAAACTTAAATCATAACAGATCTTACCAATTGATTCACACCGCTTTAGAGCATTTTCAACAATACTCTTTAAAATAATTACTCAAAATATATTTAAATATTATATTAAATTATTTTTTCAAATTCACTCCGACAATACTATCTATTTTAATTAACCACTTCAACTAATTTTAACTAACTTTCAATAATAAAATCTGAAATACTATCAAAACTCTTCAAGTCCGTGAACCATACCAACAAAAACAGATCTAAGAGAAAATAAATAAACTTTTTTATAGTTTGACTTAATTACAAGTCCTCGAATGATTTGGCTTAATTACCAAAACCTTGCGTATTGCTTTGTATTTATAGCTATGCAACTAAAGAAAAAAAGCAGAACAGTGGCATTTTCTATAACAAAGAAACACAGAGAAGCCTTNTATATATATATATATATATTAGTTATTACTTGTGTCTAAAGATACAGAATAACAAACAATAAAACAGTGGTGGTGTTAGGAAACGATGATAATTGTAGTGAGTGACAATGACCGTGATGGCAGTGACAGCAGCAATGTTAGTGTCAGCGTCAACAACAGTGGAAAGAGCATAAATAGTCATAAGGAAATGAGTTCAAATTTTGTCAATTTTTTGGAATTAAGTCGTAAGGGATTTATCAGTTATAAATAACTTAATCTCGGTTAATTTGGGCATAAATAGTCTAATTTTGCCGGTACAAACAAGGTTCGAACACTCTTAGCCGGTGAAGTAAAAAAACAATGATTAAATCAGTTGAAACACGTGTTGAACAACCAACGAACCAAACAACCACAGCGGCAAACTTAAATCATAATAGATCTTACCAATTGATTCGCACCACTTTAGAGCATTTTCAACAATACCCTTTAAAATAATTACTCAAAATATATTTAAATATTATATTAAACTATTTTTTCAAATTCACTCCGACAATGTTATCTATTTTAATTAACCACTTCAACTAATTTTAACTAACTTTCAATAATAGAATCTGAAATACTATCAAAACCCTTCAAGTCCATGAACCATACCAACAAAAACAGATCTAAGAGAAAATAAATAAACTTTTTTATAGTTTGGCTTAATTACAAGTCCTCGAATGGTTTGGCTTAATTACCAAAACCTTGCTTATTGCTTTGTATTTATAGCTATGCAACTAAAGAAAAAAAACAGAGCAGTGGCATTTTCTATAACAAAGAAACAGAGAGAAGCCTTATGAATTGCAATACAGAAACAAAAACCCATGTAACCAGATATCAAAAAAAAAAAAGAAATAAAAAAAACCCAAGAAAGAATTACAAAGAAATTCAAACTGCAATGAAAACCCACCAAAAATTCCAAACAGAAAATGCACAGTATTAGCCATGTCTTCAATATCTTTGTTTCAATGAACACAAAGAATGAAACCGAAACAAACCCAAGTCAAGAAACTTTCCAAGAAACGAAGGACCCAAGAAACCCATAATGCGAACTCAAAAAATTTATTAGAAAATAGTGGAACAAAGATATTATCTGAGAAAATAGTGGAACAAAAATTTTCTGAGAAAATAGTGAAAAATAGAATAGAATCCAAATAATGAGGTCCTTTGCTTCACAGAAACAAAGAGGAGAGGCAGAAAACAGTTCAGATTGTTGAGATGGGAGGGTGAAGAAAGGAGAAGAGAAGAGGGAAGAGGAGGCGTATATTTGCTGAAGCCTTCAGTCGGTGGTGCAGATTTTAGCGCAAAACACAGATTATCGAATAGTTTTGCCTAGTCAGATCTAGCCAGTCAAATGAAGGTCATCGAAAATACAGTCTAATAGCTAGTCTGTTATAGTTAACTTCTGCGGTCTGGTCTGGCTATGTAAATAGCTAACAAGTCCAGTTTATTGAGCTCTTGGAGATGCTTTATTATATGTTCGAACCTGAAAATTTTTTAAACCAAAATAATACAAATATAGAATTTTGGAACTAAACTTTATTGCGGTAATTGATTCACTCAAACGTTTTGGGCCCATTTTGAGTCCAAATGATACTAAGGCCAAACATCATGTCTTTGGACTACATCTTAAACGTAATGGTGGGCCCATACTTGTTCTCTTTTATTCTTAGACATAAGAAGCCGATTACAGTTGTCCATTGCAATTCAAAATGGCCAACCCAACCCAATCTAAGCAAAGCCCAACGCTGAGTATTTTGTATTGGGCATAGATTTCTATCTTACTTTTTATGTTTTCACAAAAAAATTCCAACTCCATTTTAATTAGAGTAGTACTCTAGTTGNCACAGAAACAAAGAGGAGAGGCAGAAAACAGTTCAGATTGTTGAGATGGGAGGGTGAAGAAAGGAGAAGAGAAGAGGGAAGAGGAGGCGTATATTTGCTGAAGCCTTCAGTCGGTGGAGCAGATTTTAGCGCAAAAAACAGATTATCGAATAGTTTTGTCTAGCCAGATCTAGCCAGCCAAATGAAGGCCATCGGAAATACATAGTCTACTAGCTAGTCTGTTGTAGTTAACTTCTGCGGTCTGGTCTGGCTATGTAAATAGCTAACAAGTCCAGTTTATTGAGGTCTTGGAGATGCTTTATTATATGTTCGAACCTGAAAATTTTTTAAACCAAAATAATACAAATCTAGAATTTTGGAACTAAATTTTATTGCGGTAATTGATTCACTCAAACGTTTTGGGCCCATTTTGAGTCCAAATGATACTAAGGCCAAACATCATGTCTTTGGACTACATCTTAAACGTAATGGTGGGCCCATACTTGTTCTCTTTTATTCTTAGACATAAGAAGCCGATTACAGTTGTCCATTGCAATTCAAAATGGCCAACCCAACCCAATCTAAGCAACGCCCAACGCTGAGTATTTTGTATTGGGCATAGATTTCTATCTTACTTTTTATGTTTTCACAAAAAAATTCCAACTCCATTTTAATTAGAGTAGTACTCTAGTTGGGATCTCAAATTTTCAGCACCTTCAATTACTAAATTCGAGTTCAATTCCAATTTTAACCTAAGTTATATAATCCTTTGGCCAGAGTTGTGTTAGGCATGAAAAGCACTTTGGTTGAGTGGTTTAATTTAAAGTCGAGTTTAAATTCA